TCCCAGAACCTCTCCAAAAAATAAAAAATTAACAAAAATTCTTACATATTTGCAGAATTGGGTATGTTAAACATTCACAGGCAAGTTGAAATTACTGTTGATGAAGTGATAGAGGAGTTAGCCAAAAAATCGAGACAACTGGAATTTATTTTATAACAATACTTTATAATATATAATGCTAAATACAATATATAGGTACATATATATAATATTACATAAGACTATACGATTATAACATTATACATTTAGTTCAACTTCCTCCAAAAACTGCATAAAGACGTAACTATTACAATATAATATATAGTTTATTGAAAATTGAAAATACGCCACTGTATGCAGGAGAGTATTGAGCCGGTGGGCTGCTCAAATTATGGGGTGGTCATGAATAAATGTTAGGCCCTTCAATCCAAAAATATGTATGTAATTATTTAAGAATGAATAAAAATGATTAAATTACACAATATCTTTTTTTGGGTGATTGTAAACTCCCCAGGATATAGGTTAAGATGGCTGCATCCGAATTGGTTCCCATACCTAAATATCGGCATCCGAATTGGTTCCCGAGATTTTATGTAGTATGCATCCGAATTGGTTCCCGAGATTTTATGTAGCATACATACGAAGGTTCCTGATATTTTATGCATTCTATTTTTGTAAAATACCTTCGATAATGGATTACGCCTATGGATTCTCCTGATAATTCAGTTTATCGAATAATTTCTCCAATCATAAATAAATGTATATAAATAAAATAAGAAACACATTATACGAAGGTAATGATGATTTGAGTGGTATGTTTAAATATCTAGTTGTTACTTGTTAGTCGTTTCCTGTACCTACGTTACGTTTTACATACTTTTTTAATATGAAATTCGTGTACAGTGAAAAAAATTAAAAACTGTGGTATTAGATGGTTTTAAATTTGGATATCAAAAACAGTTAGCAGATGACATTGAACGTTGGGTATGTGTAAAAAGAAAATGTAAGTCATATTTAAAAATTATATAATTCAATAAACATGCATAATCAAAACATTAAAAAAATATAATGTAACTTCTTTTCGTGTTATAATCAAGCATAACTACATTAAAATAAGCATAAACAAATTTTAAAAAAATGAAATTATCATAATACTAGAAAAAACAATTTATAACCATACCTACTAAAAGTAAATAGCCCTAAGTCTGTATGAAATGTGAAGAAAAATTGAAATTACTCAGTAAAAAAATGGGAACCAATTCGGATACGCCCTCCTTAAGAATTCGAGAACCAATTCAGATTTAGCGGTTAAGATGAAAAGATAACAACAGGTCTAGTGTAAAATCCGCCATTTTTTTTTTTTCTTACCTGTAATGGGTATATTAATTATCAATTATTATTATGAAAAATATGATTTTATATTATTAAATATAACGATTATTTATTATGATTTTTTTACTATGATTTAAATATTTTATGTGAACTATACGATATAATATGATATTTTAATTTTTGTTTAATAATAAATCATATTAATTTTATACTACTACTCGATTTTCTTCACTGGCGGAGTTTGTATGAACCCCCAATTTTACCTGTTTTATTTTTCTGGTGTAGTCTACAGTAAAAAAAGGTACCCCCCTTTTTTTTTTTAACATTAAAATTTTCATATTTGAGTTCAAAATTAAAAAAAGTCTTTCAATGCAATTATATTGTAACGCATGACTTAAGTATTGATTTGAAAAAAAAAATAAAAAAAAATAATAAATAGAACATAAGTTATTGCATTTGTCGAATCATCCTGAAACACCCTGTATATTTGAATTGAATCAATCGAAATCTTTCAAGGTGAATTTCTTCGGGTTTAATTATTTCAATTGATGAAAGTGGAATTTTTTTATATTTGTTAAGTTTCATGTAATAGTTCACTTTGCTCAATACTATCATAATATAAATTACTCTTAGTGATCAAATTATATACTTATGTCAACTCTCGAATAAGTAAAGTCTTTGTTTAATGACTTTTAAAATTATTAATTCATTGTGTCAGGATTACTTCATTTTTTTTAATAAAACTTAATTTGTATTTTTACTTAGTTGTTTCAAAATATGCATGCCTATAGTTGTTTTTCTTATATTTATATCTCTTTTGCTTGAATTAGATACGATGTGAACAATTACAAGTATAGTGAGCGTTTAATAGTTTGCCACATAATAAAAAGTTGCAATATAAAAACAGTAAAATTAATAATACTACATAACTATGCTTTAATTTTATTAGAAATATTATATTTATCACGTACAATTTATTATTAATATTATTCATTTTTTACAAGTTCAGACAAAATTACATTTTATGTAACACATATTGGTATAATATAGTTTTATGATATAAATAGAAATAGTAGTTATATTACCAATGAAAATAAATTGTCTTCGCGACACATAGATTTCTAATTAATTAATACATATTTATAACTTATAAAATATGAAGTTATTTTATATTGTTAAACTATACAATAATAAAATACGCATTAATAAGTAAAAAAAAAAAAAAATCACATAAAAGTCATTGGTACTCTTTTTAATGAAACTCGATATTATAATTAATTACATTTTATTAAAATAGTAAAATTTTGATTTTATACAATTCATATAAGCATTAGAAAACTTTTCAAATACAATATAATAGTTATGGGTCAACAGAACTTTCAGCGTTCTATTATACTTCAATTCTGATCGAAAAGTTATTCTATATAGATATACGAATAATGAATAAACGTGTATAGGATAATATGTATGTGTATTATTATTATACTTTAAAAAACGTTTGCCCCTTTGAATTTATTTTGCTAAATTTCTTAAACGGACTTCACATTAAATGTATAAATATAAGTTTAAAAATGCTTCAGAATTTTGACTTAAAGTGACTTTTAATTACGATGGCTTGGTCACCAACTGTCTCTGCCCTACGCTCTACTTTAATGATGTTTAATGTAATACGCATGATCTTCCTCTTCCGTTTTGTACTCGGGCAAAGTTATCTAAAGCGTATTTACTCTTTCCTCGCCCAATTTTTACGTCTGTTTGGTTATGCGAAGCAGTCGAAAACTTTCTTTCGCCTTCTCGTATCCCGCCCCCTAGGGTTTACGTTATCAATTCGTGTCATGTGTGCCAAATTTCATTTTAAGAAAAAAAACCTGTTTCTACTTCTTTTTCCATTCACAAACCCTCTCCATCCGCTGGGCCATGATGTAATCATTAGAATTATTTAGAAAATGGCTTTTGGAAAAGAGTTTTCGCGTGCACAAAGCGTATACTGTTTATCGCAGTGCACATTATATTATTTTTTTCCTGTTTATTGTGATCAGCATGGAAACCTTTACCTACTGTACTCGGCTGTATATGACTCTTCGGAGAAAATTGCCTAATCTGCACATTCTTAAATATGGTACAATGTGCAGATATGGTGTGCTTTTGAATTCGATTGCGAAAATTAACCTGTTCGTGACTATTCGTGTATTAGTTGCCCACAAGCGTCTAAAACGAAGGATGTGAACAAAAGAAACACATATCTACGTAAATAATTTAGTTTGCTTGCATGTGTGCTACGAGGAAATGAATATGAAACAGGCTGATCTCGGAATCGCGTTTCTCAAACACACATATACACACCCCACATAATGATATTGGTTTCGTGTCCCGAGACGTTTAACGGAAGTGCTTCGAATCGCCCGACCCACAATATTGCGTTACGGTCGATATTTGAGTCTCCTACGTATATAACTGTCCCCGTATTTTATCCCGCCCGATAAAACACAACCTTTTTTTTTTTTTTTGTAAATGGAAATCATTACTCAAGTGCCGGTACAAGAAGATAAATAACAATCATGTAAATTAGATACCGATTAATGATTAACGTGACGAGTGAGTATAGCGCACAACAAAAAACGAAATGTTATAAATACCTAGTTCGTATTGATTATTAATTTAATGAGTCGTATAGGATGTAGTGCTCGGTGACTATACCATTAGCATTGTTTTCAAATTTAAGTAATATAAAAATGTTTAATCTAACACCATTATTTATTTTCATTAATGCTTAATCTCTTAAAATAATATTATTTTATTAATTATAATATATTATTTTATTAACTGTAATTAATTAACAACAATATAAATTATTGAAAGTAAAATTATCATTTATGCCGTTGGAATAAGGATGCTTTTGTACAGTTTTGATTTTTTCATTCTTTAAAATTTATTTAATTTTTTTTAAATAGTATCAATAGTTACGCATCAAGATTTTTATAAATCTTATTAAAATTCTACATTTTAGTTGTATAACAAAATATCAAAAATAATTCATCAAATCATATCCTTAACCATACATTTTTTTCTCTTATCAATATTTAATATAAAAATGTGAGTTTATTGTTTGAAGCGAAATATTAAAGATGTATGGCTTTTCATTAAAAGTGATACTTTAAGTCAAATCTATTTATCTGTATTTAACAGTGTTTTAAAGAAACAATTTTGCTTATAAATATTTATTTTTATGTTATAGACGCAATATGTGAAAAACGCAGTCTTGACGACCTGTGTGGTGAAATAACTAGCGATGCTCCACTCTACTCAATGTTTAGAGTAGATGCCACTCCAATTCCATGTCCATTTGATGGACTACAAGCACCGTTCCATTTTTCCTATAGTCGAGGTGGTTATACTGAATGCAAGTGCGTACAATATTCATAAGATATATTATATTTAAATATTCATCGTCACGTAGATATATTTTTTTAATATTTATATTTTTTTGATAAAATTCACGTTTATATATAACGTTACGTTTAAACGATAGCATAAAAGTATTAAATATAATTATAACACTGTGCCATTGTTTAAAATACTAGTATTTATAGTATTTATAATCAATTACTGTATTATAAAATGTTTTATCGAGATAACAGAATATGAAATATTAAGTATAAGATATATTTTATCATATACAAGTATCTTTACAATTACCTCATAAATTCAATAATAAAAATATAATTAAATTATCACTTAAAAATACTTAGCAAATATTATTTTCTCTAAATAGTTAGAGAATTAGTTAGTTCTCTAATTAATTCTCTAATTCTCTTAATTAGTGTTTTTTTTTTTTTTTTTACTCATGACGTGTAAAAATATACTTACTTAATTTTTTTTAGAATTGGATTTTTCTTATATTATTATTATAATCAATAACAAAGAAGGTTAGGCCTTTCTGGCCGAAATATATGTTTCTTTATTTTCTATCTTCTAGTCATTTATCTTCTGTCAACTCTATTCTTCTATTTATCTAAATATTAATCATCTACAACGTATAATTATTGTGGTATTAGAACTTCAGTTCAACTATACTTTTTTTGTTAAAAAAGTTCTCCAGTAATTGACAATATTATCAATAAATGTATACGATATTAATACTAACAACCTGCGGTAGCATTTTGGTATTTTCAAACGATAAGAAACTATTATACCAACTTCCTGTTTTCTTTGTTTTAGATCACCTGTTTCAAAAGCTGATTCGTGTACATCAGACTCAAGGTTGATGCTCAAGTTTCAAGCTTGTCCGGACGTCCTTAACACGGAGAGCACAGGTAAATAACTGAAGACATTCCAAACCTTCATTGCCATTGTTGTAATTTTCCTCCCCCTCTCCTATCTCTTTTCCATGACCTTCACTCCCTTTACTCAAATCACCGTTAAAATCCGCGTATACATTATCCCTTGCATATATACAACGGCAGTTCAAATCGATGCTGACAGGCCACGTGACAGATTTATTGAAACAAACCGTCAGTTAAACCGCTTTTCGCCGCCTTGTCGGTCGGGTTTATAACATGTGTCAAACATAAAGACTCCGCAGACCGGGGCGGCGTTTTTTGATTGACGTCCGTGACAGTTAACAATGCTGAGGAAAAGCATTATGGCTTTCGTAACGATTAGATAAGGTCAGTTTTTTTTCACCCGAATGGTTATTGTTCAGCCGGGTAATAATAAATTAAAATTTTTAAATTGCGCTCTTATGAAAAAAATGAATAGATAGAATGTTACATTGTATCGACATTAATGTTGTCTGAACAACGCATAATATAAAATGTACCTAGATCGTATTGTAACATATTATACAGGGTACGTTCATGATTTGACAATTGTACATTGTTATATAATATTTACAATCACCAAAAGTTCGTGATGGAACTGAAATCACCTTATTCCTTGATATTTGGTCCATCGTCCTCCTAAATTAAATGTCACATATTTTATTAAATCTAAACATAGTGAATTGCATTTGAAATGTATTTATCTTGTTGCATATCATTAGTAAAAAAAATACATTCATTTAAATAGTTATTATTTATAAGTAAAATTAAGTTTTGCTCTTCATCCGTCATACAAATTAATTTGTTAGTACATTTTTTTCTTATTAATTTTTTCACTTACACTATTTATAAATTACTAATTAGTTGATTTTTATAAATTAAGTATTTTATCATTTGTTTGATATTATTGATATTAAGTTTAAATATTCAAAACTGGCTGCCGAATGCTATTTAAATGAATGCCAATAAAAAAAAAAAGGTTAGGTTATTAAACCCTGGTAAATATTCCACTTAATAAAATCTTAAAAATTCTTTATTGAATCTAAAATAACTCAAAAACAATATAACTATAAAAAGCCAAAAAAATTTATTATTAGTTATGATCACTATCATATACATATATTAAAATTACTAACATATTTATTGTTTGATATAATTACCTACTTATGTTGGCTATTAAAAGGGTTGATTCATAATTTCCATACATTTATAAATATCTAGAAAAAATATTAAAATGTTTGCACTTAACTACTCATAATCTCCATCTCCATTTTATAGTTTAAATTAATTTCCCCTGAAGAATAATATTTTGTTTATTCGGGTCGATTAAATAAAATGTATATCAATGTTGGACGAATAAATTATATTATTTTATTATAGAGTAATTAGTATTTATTAATTATTTTTGCTTAGTTATTATATTATGTTTACCAGAAATATAATACAAAAGATTGTGACTACCAAACGTATTACTTTAAAATCTTAACGTATTTCCATATATTATATTATAATATCATTCTTATACTATGTTGAGGTATATGTACATTTATGAGACCCAACTAGTTTGTTTTTGTATCCAACATTACCTTATTCATGTTACATATTTGGATAGTTACGTATTTTCGTAACTGTCAACAATCTCCAATAAGTTTCAATGAAATATTCTGGACGTGTTCAATCGAGCTAGATAGATTTCTGGCCAATGTGTCTGATAAAACGTGTAATATTTTTCAAGTTTTATTTGTTTTTTGGAATCCAGTCATATATATCACCAACCCTCCTTGTGTAATCCATCATCGTCGGTAATCCGTTTAAGGGAAAAACTTTTATTACTTAGCTCTTTTCCTCTACCACCCCTTGCCAAACATTTTTAAGCCCATCTCTCCTTCCTCTACGCTCTCGTTATTTCATATCTGAGTGTACGTGTGTTATTTGTTATTATTTTTACCGTCCTATATAATGACTTCCGTTGTGGAATTCCACATAAAACGAGGGATTTGTTGTTTTTATGTTCACTCTGTGATTATATATCGTTTCGTCTTGGTGGTACACACTAAATCCCTTATGTGCACACGACCGTTCTTGTTGATCGATCCTTTATTTGTGGTTTGTGTAACTGTTTATACAATCGAACCATTTTGCCGTCGCTCATGCATGCCTTTATAGAATTGGTTGTAAATGAATACAGATTTCTAATTGTTATACTTGTTGATTTTTAATAAATTAGGGGATATACTTTTGATTATTGTCAAAACTTTTAAAATATGTTAATTTTTGTATAATACTTCTCATTCTATGATATCATGTTTATCAAATCTATACATTCAACCAATTAATTAGTGTTTTTATCAATGTTTATTTTTTTTCTAATAATATAATAACTACGAGTATTAGTTGGTTGACATAAATTATGTGCTTTGAATTAGAGAATACGAATTCGATTTTATTACTATTAAAATGTATTATTATTTATTATATTTTCTTTATAAAAAAAAAAAATGTATATTTGTATATTTTATACGCTCTTACTAACTAATTAAATAATAGATTCCACTATTATGTTTTGTAGTAAAAATTAATTTATTATAAATTACCATATAATTCTTTATATTTGCATCGAAATGTCTTATTCAATATGTCCATCACATATAGTTTACGCCTAAGAGAGATGATAAAGAGTGAGGTAAGAAAATAGTCTACTAGCTCATTATTATTGTTACATGTTTATGTCACAAGAAGGTAATAAGGCAACCTGGGCATCAGTCATTGTCGGCAATAATACATGTCAAGCTCTCTACCACGTTGGCAAACCACATATATTATTCAAGAGATCCGCAAAAACGAGCTTTAACCGGAAGTTTAAAATGTTCTTCTATTTTCTTGTGCTTCTGTTTTTTTTATTTATTTTTTTTTTACTCTTCATGAGAAATTATACATCAGGATAGTGGTTACCTTTCAAATATCGTATACTCATATGAACTCCTAGAGTATCACTTGCATCTAAATAAAAAAATGTTGTGTAAGTATTGACTTTTATGAAGAAAAAAATTCATACACTTTCCCCAGATTAATTACGTGTTAATTTCAATAAAAAATTGTATTAAGTGCTTGAAAATACAACTATATAGTTCGACTAGGTTACGTTTTATTAATGACATTTAATGGAATTTTTTCTTTAAACCAATTTTTGTAATCTCGATCAAATATCCTTTCTTAAAGCGTTAAACCATAATAATTTATCTCTGATGTCTAAGTATAAAAATAAACGTTGAACATTTTTACTTTATTCATTTATTCTATTTATTATACATATATAATATTAAATGCATAGTTAAATTATATAAGGATTAAATTGATGCCATAGAATAAAACTGTTATTAAATTGAATTATAATATTTAAACCAACTAAATTCCAAAATAGTTTTTATAAACGTTACATATTTAATAATTGTTATGCAAAACAAGTTTTCTTCAATTTGCATCTCGATTAAAATACCAAAAATAAACTTCAAAGCATATGTTGAAATGTTTCATTTTTTATAGCAATTATTTTATAAACTACCATAAATGACTGATATGTATCTTCCAATTAATTTATTATATTTATTTTTTTTTTTTTTTACAATTCCAATTCGTTTGAATAAATAAGTTATTTTTTAATAATATATTTTCACTTATTTTTTAGTCAGATACCCAATTACTTAATTATTTAAAGACATTATTTCTATCTTTGAATTTTATTTTTTATTTCAAAAAATCGTCAAAGAAGATTTACTATAAAACGCTTTAGACTCCAAAATACAATTTTTACTTCTTTCTTTAATACCAAGATTATTTGGCTAATTGTTATAAATTATTTTGAAAAATTATTTTTTTTTTTTTGACTGTTTCGTCACGAAGTTTGATTTTTCTTTCAACTTTGAACTTTATCTTCTTAATATGTCTAACTATTAATTAATCGTTGATAAGTTTTACATTTTAGTTAGGAACATATTTGTCGCAGGAGGCATTTGAAGTTCAGTAATAATCCACTCAGTATTATTATTAGAAATATATCATTCTTCATGACAACAAACCATCTATTTTGTTCATAATTTATTTCCGATATCAGAAAAATGCATCAAGTTCACTAACAGTGGAAACAAAATAGTGTTCCCCAATTCGAGTGTGCTTGTAAATATTATATGGAAAAAGAAAATTGTACGCCTAATTAAACGTTAACGTGTATCTAGTTTGTATTAACGATGAAGGTTTGGAAGAGGGTGATCTGTCCAAACCACACGCGGAGAACCAGGATCTTGTCGACGAAAAGTAGATAGCCGAGAGCTTAGTAATCGCTACGGACCCGCCGGCTGATAACTGCCATTATTCGACCGCGAACAAAGGAGTCTTTTTGCAACACAGACGATTTCCTCACGTTTCCTCCACTACTGCACGCACACAACAACCACCCACCATCTCCACTTCCCCACAAGGCGTTATCCATCGATTGCGTCTGTAGTGGATTCCCCTCCTCTCGAGCCCGTAAGCGTTTATTTTGTTATTCCGTCAGAGTCAAAAACACGCAACGGTTTTTAATCCTCCTTAATAAACTTAATAACTATTTATGTTCTGCGCAACGAATTGGACGTCGATGTTTAATGAATTTTGACAGTGTAAATGCTCGACGGTAGTATTACTGTAACAGAATTTATCCGGATGAGATACAAGACAAATGCTATATCTTCAGTACCGATGTTCTAGAAAGACTGGTAATGTAAGAAGGGAAATTCGTTTGAAGTACGGAAGTACAACTGAAAGTTTCTTTGCGCTATGTTCAACAAGTGGTGATTCTTCAAGAAAATTGGCGATGTGAGGGTCTACGCTCTTTTTAAAAATAATTTTTTCCCCATCTCTTAATCCCATACAAACATATTATATCATTTAATAAATATACATGCAAATCGTCTTCCATTCTTATTACCTGATATAATACTACATTTATTTGTATAAAA